AAAACAGGTACTTAAATACATATGTGTACACGAACGCTCATGGCAGCACTGTTCACAATAGCTAATCGTGGAGACAACGAAAATGTCCCTCAGTAGATGAATGGATCAACAAAATCTGGTCTATCCATGCAATAGAATATTATCCAGCCATGAAACGGAATGGAGTACTGATCCACACTACAAACACGATGCTACATGAAAGAAGCCAGGCACAAATGGTTACGTCGTGCATGACTCAGTTTATATGAAATAGCCAATATAGGCAAATCCATAGAGACAAAGAGATATGGGAACATATGTATATGTATAACTGATTCACTTTGTTATAAAGCAGAAACTAACACACCATTGTAAAGCAATTATACTCCAATAAAGATGTTAAAAAAGAATGTATATATATGCATATATATGTATGTACATATATATAATCACCTTACTGTACAACAGAAACTGACACAACATTGTAAATCAACTATATTTCAATTTAAAAAAAAATCCATAGAGACAGAAAAGACATTAGTGTTTGCCAGGGCCGGGGACAATGGGGAGTGACTGCTTAATGGGTTCAAAGTTTCCTTTAGCACGATAAAGATGTTCTGGAAACAGCGGCGATGATTGCACAACATCGCGAACGTACTAAATGTCGCTGAATTGTACACTTTAAAACGGTAAATTGTATGTGGGTTTTATCACAATAAAAAAAATTTTAATTTTGATAGAAACATTTTTTTCATTTCCCAGCGCTTGCTGGCAGAATTTTTAGGAACCAATTAAATTCACGAAGGATAGGTGAATCGTGAAAGAAAAAAATAATATTCTGTTAAAGAAAAAAACTAATGACACCAGTTAAAGCAAAAGGCAGACTTTATTCAAGGGGAAGGGGTCATCGCCATAGGGGTAGGGAGCGTCTGCCATAGGGAAAAGAGATTGGACCCAACTCCAAATACAGCATGTGCACGTGGGGACTCATAGCCAAGGAGCAGGCTGGGAGTCAGTGCATGGAAAACAACTAAGAGGTAGTGATACAGAGCAGGACCCTACGGGGCTCCCAGACACTGGAGCCTTTCTGTGACCCCCTGTTTCTTGATTACAGGAAATCGGCTTCATTCAGCCTCCATGACCTTCCCTGAGTTCCAACGGCAGGTTCAAACAGTTGCTGATTAGGCAAGGGAGGGGATGCAGAGACGAGGGAGGAACAGTCAAAAGAAACAATAGTGCAGCCTTGGGGCAACGTCCTGGTTCCCCCTCAAGGGATACACATAACAAGATCTTTGAGCTGTTTTGCAGATACCGAAGCCCCCACCAGGTGGGAGAAGTTAACGGTATGCTGCCCACAAGCACGGAGACTCCAGACTGGCTGGAACCAGAAGGTTGATGATGCCGACTCCCAATTACCTCACCACCAAACAATCAGAAGAATGGCGGTGAACTGACCACGCCCTCTTTGAACCACTACTTTAAAACTCCTCACGGCCCCCTCCAGGTTGGGACACACGGTTTTGAGGGCATTAGCCCACCATGGCCCCCTTTGCCTGGCAAAGCAATAAAGCTATTCTTTTCTACTTCACCCAAAACTCTGTCTCCAAGATTTACTTCGGTGTCAGGGTACAGAGGCTGGATTCAGCTTCAGTAGCCTGAAGGGTAAGAAGGATTCTGGCTACACTGACCTAACGGGATTCCTGCTGGATGAGATGTCACCTGAGGGTGGGGGTGGGGGGGAACCCAAACAGATATCAAAGGTGATCAGATATCAAGGGTGGGCACTTCCAGTTAAACTAACTTAGAAGGATTCTTGCTAAAACTGGACAAGGCAGAGATGAACACAGAAGTCAAAAGTCAACCCTAGTTGGAAAAAAGTTCAGGAGAGCCTGAGCAGAGTTCAGTCAATGAGAGAATCTTTGTCAGTATTTGAAAATGCAACAGTGTGGATGCTTCAGGTGCCAATAGCAGACAGCCCCCTTCCTCCCTCCGCCCCGGACTCCCCAGGCTGGGATTAAAAGCAAACAACTGGTTTGTCTAGTTGGACTCCAAGTACTACATGTAGGGATCAGCTCTGCTTCTCTGCTGTTTACTCTGTTTTCCTCCACAAATTGGTTGTCATGCTCAAGCTGGTGCCAAGATGGCTGCTGCATTCCAGACATCGCAGCCAAACACCTAGCTGGAGAAGAAGCCCACCCCATTCTGGGGGAGCTTCCCCAGGAGCCTCCCCTCAGCTCTGACTGGCCAGCACTACCCACCGCTCAACCAATCCCTGGCCAGAAGAATGGGAGAGGCTTGGACCAACCAGGATCTGCTTGCTGGGGCTGGGGAGAAACCAGGATGAAGGCTGCAGGACACAGGATGGGGTTAACACGTGGTATTAACAGTGGCTCTTTCTGGGCAGTTGGAAGATGGCTGAATTTTACTCTCTTCCTTTTGAGTTCATTCTAAATTTTCTATAATAAACTTTGACTTTTAGTTATTTTAAGAGGAATCAAAATCATTATGTGAGAGGGAGGTGGGAAGGAAGGAGGGAGGGAGAGAGGAGGGAGAGGGAGAGAGAGAGAGAGAGAGAGAGAGAGAGAGAGAGAGAGAGAGAAGCTTCAGGAACTGGAAAATCTAGAATAACTGGCTTTGCTTTATGCCCTGCCTCTCGATGCTCACAGAACCTTTGCTCCTGAGGTTTAACAGTGAAAATTCATCAGAATCCCTTTGGCCCCTAAACTCCACTTCTGCTGCACACCAAACTCCTACCAGAATAAGGCCGGTTTGGGCAATCTGGTTGCGGCCCAAGACTGCGGCGGCTACACTTGGAAATAACGGCAGGGTTTGCAACGACCCGTCTGAGGCAGACAGACGGGAAATCTCGAACCTGCAGCAAAAAGGACTGAGGGTAGATCCTGGAAGGATTCTGACCCCAGGAACACCACCTCAAAACCTTCCAGGGACTTCCCTGGTGGCGCAGTGGTTAAGAATCCGCCTGCCAGTGCAGGGGACACGGGTTCGAGCCCTAGTCTGGGAATATCTCACATGCTGCGGAGCAACTAAGCCCGTGTGCCACAACTACTGAGCCTGCACTCTAGAGCCCGCGAGCCACAAGTACTGAGCCTGCGCTCTAGAGCCCGCAAGCCACAACTTCTGAAGCCCACGTGCCTAGCACCCATGCTCCTTAACAAGAGAAGCCACCCCAATGAGAAGCCCGCGCACCTCAATGAAGAGTAGCCCCCGTTTGCCACAACTAGAGAAAGCCCGCTCACAGCAACGAAGACCCAACGCGGCCAAAAAATAAATAAATGTTTAAAAAAAGAAAAAAAAATGTTAATTGCTTATAAAGGGTAGCACGTCTTAGAAAAGATACAAGTCAACTTGTTTACAAAACAGAAACAGACTCACAGACACAGAAAACAAACTATGGTTACCAAAGGGGAAAGGCAGGGGGAGGGATAAATTAGGAGTATAGGATACACCCCACTCTACATAAAACAGATAAACATCAAGGATTTACTGCATAGCACAAGGAACTATATTCAATATCTTGTAATAACCTATAAAAGAATCTGAAGCCATACACCTGAAAGTAACCCAATATTGTAAATCAATTATAGTTAAATTTTTTTAAAACTATAAAAAATAAATTAAAAAAAAAAAAGAAAAGGTAAGGCGGCTCACGGGACCTCCACGAGGCTGAGGACCAGGAACAAGGTATAAATGACCTGGTGGAACTGTTCCTGCCAGTAACCATTGTCCACAACATCAGCCTTGGCCCCAGAACCCCTGCCTGAGGGGCCCTGGAAGGCTGCATTCATTCATGCATCCATTCAACAAACATCTATTGAGCACCTACTGTGTGCCAGGCACGGAGTTTACAGACGGAAAGTACAAAGATCACTGCCCTTGTGGAGTTTATATGTTGGTGGACGTGCCGGCTCTGTCCTCACCATCAAAGGCTCTGTGTGGCGCCTGCCTCTCTGGTTTCTGCATCCAAGCCTCGCACGGTTGCATCTGATCAGGGAGCCTGGGTCACATGGCAGTGCCAGCAAAAGAGGAGCCTAAGAAAGCAAGTCTCTGGCAGGACTCCTGAGGTGGATGATTCGCAGAAACATAACAAAAGGCACAGGACGTGTAGCTACTACGGCGGTCCCCAGTTTACAGATGACAACACCAAGGCTCAGAGAGGGCATGTCAGTTGCCCAAGGTCACATAGCCCGTCAGCAGCAGAAACTGGGCTCAAAGGCACAGAGGGGGGCTTCCCTGGTGGCGCAGTGGTTGAGAGTCCGCCTGCCGATGCAGGGGACATGGGTTCGTGCCCCGGTCCGGGAAGATCCCACATGCCGCGGAGCGGCTGGGCCCGTGAGCCATGGCCGCTGAGCCTGCGCGTCCGGAGCCTGTGCTCCGCAGCGGGAGAGGCCACAGCAGTGAGAGGCCCGCGTACCGCAAAAAAAAAAAAAAAGCACAGAGGGGAGTCACAGTCATTTACAGCTGGCGTCTGCTGTTCCATAAACTAGTCATGAGGATTTGGGGCCTTCGAGCAACCCCTGCACAGGCTCCTCAAAGCCTATGGGCCTTCTGACACCCGTGGCTGTTAACTGCAGAGACTGACTCCCCCAACTGACCGTGTGCAGAGCGTTTCTCACACATTTATCCTCTGTGCCCTCCCAGCCACAGCGTGATGATCCCCATTATACAGATGGGAAAAGTGAGACACAGTTTAAGTAACTTGTCCAGGTCACCCATGCAGGGAGCAGCAGATGCACGGCTGGAACCCAGGCTGGTTGGCTCCAGAGTCCACACTCTTACCTAGGACTTGGTTCTGCCTCAGCGTTAACAGCCACCATCAAAAACTAACTATATGGGGGCTTCCCTGGTGGCGCAGTGGTTGAGAGCCCGCCTGCCGATGCAGGGGACATGGGTTCGTGCCCCGGTCTGGGAAGATCCCACATGCCACGGAGCGGCTGGGCCCGTGAGCCATGGCCGCTGAGCCTGCGCGTCCGGAGCCTGTGCTCCGCAACGGGAGAGGCCACAACAGTGAGAGGCCCGCGTACCGCAAAAAAAAAAAAAAAAAACTAACTATATGATGCCAAGGGTTTAGTATCAATACTTACCAGCAATGCTGTTACTGAATTAGACGCAAGGCCCGCCCTTGGGGCCCTAGCTGAACCGACGCCTCCCGTGGCTCCGTCAGGGAGCTCTTTCCCGCTCAGGCTCAGGTTCTAGCTGCCAATAATAAAACTGAATTTGGTGCAAGCAAGACAGGCTTGAGAGTGTTTAGAGAAAGGAGAAGGGGAGCTTCTGCGCTAACAGCATCTTCTCCCCGAAGGGAGGAAAGTAAGAGGATTTTAAGGGTTAGGAAGCGGACAGATCATCCGGGCTCTAGGAAAGGGGCGGAGCTTTTAGGGCAGCCGTGGGCATGCGTAGTCTCCAGGCTCCTTTCCGCACAGTCACGCACGCTCCTTTCCACGCAGCTCGAATTGTGCCTAGCAGAGTAGAAATGCCCTCTTTGCGCAGAGATCTGAGCGTGGAAGGAAGCAGATGTAACTCCGGGACACCTCCAGGTCTCATCTGCGGAGGCATATTCCTGTGGTCAAGTCAGAGCCCGTTCGGGGCGGGTGACCATTGTGTATCTCTTAAAGCACAGCTGCACAGCATCTCTGTCAAATACCAGGTGCTCTTGAAACAAACACAGAGATAAATCGAGGCAAGGAAAGCCGGCCATCTTGGATCTAGCCGGTTCGGTCCGGTTTTCTCTTGGGCATTTGTGGCATCCTATTGGTAAAACACAACTAGCCTGTATGGCTAAAAAACAAAAACAAAAAAACAGTTTCTGCAACTGGGACCTGGGCTGCATAGCATGGGTGACAATACGAGCTTTAGTCAAATGGCCAAACCTCTCAGAGCCTCTATTTTTATATCTGGAAAAGAGGGGCAATGACAGCACCACCCACAACAGGATCCTTTGGAGGACTGGCCTGGCAAATCCATGGAATGCTGCTGCCTTTGAAGCTGTGGTAATAAACAAAGAACAACCAAAGGAGAAAAGCAAAGGCTGTTACTTCAGAGCTTGCTATAGCAAGGGAGTCCGGCAGCATCACTTGCATTTGGCAGAGACTCAAAGGCAGGCAGAGAGGTGTGAAAGCTTTATAATGGAAAACAGGAAAGGCTACGATTGTGCCCTTACTGGAGGCCGTTGGCACAGAAAAGCAGAAGGCGGGCTTATTAGAAGCAGGACGTCCTAGGTGACTGATTAGGGTGCATAGCTGGCTTTCTCTGGCTGGTCCTAAATTAGAAGAAGGGACAAAAATTAGGGAGGCTGTTAGTTGTTGATCAAGCCCTGGCCATTCGGAGCTGATTGTTACAGAAGTGATTGTTTAGCTTCCTGCATTGTCACTAGAGATAGTAATCTGGCTTCCTGTGAGTCCGAATTAAAGCAAGCTGGCTTCCTGGGCTGTTTTTAAGAGGGTTGGTTTCCTAGGTTGCTTCACCTCGTGAGTCAGAATTCTATTTTTATAGATGGTCTGACAATTTTCAGTCTGTATACTGGTCTCTCAAAGCACTTTTTAGATGTGATGGTACCTAATCAAAGATCAACATGGGGGACTTCCCTGGTGGTCCAGTGGTTGAGAATCCATCTTGCAATGCAGGGGACGCTGGTGTGATCCCTGATCGGGGAACTAAGATCCCACATGCCACAGGGCAACTAAGCCTACGTGCCACAACTACTGAGCGCCCACACTCTGGAGCCTGCATGCCACAACTAGAGAGAAGCTCACGCACCACAACAAAGATCCCACGTGCAGCAACTGAGACCCGATGCAACCAATAAATAAATAAATATTTTTAAAAAAAGAGAGATCAGCATGGATAAATCTGCTCCACGGAAGACCATATGATTCTTTGTTAGTAGAACTGAAAATAGATGGTCCCAGAGACCAGTAAAGGGAAAAGCCAAAAGAAAATTTTCAGTCCTGGAAGAAGAAACAGAATGCAGGGCTCTGTTCCAGTTACTTCTTGCTGTGGAACAAACTCAGTGGTATAAAACAACCACCATTTTATTATGTTCACGATTTCTGGGATCAAGAAAACAGACAGCTTCGTGATATCAAGCCTCAGATGAAAAGATTCAAAAGGCTGAGCTTGGCTCAAATGCTGGAGGCTAGAATCACCCAGAGGTGTCTTTACTCACTCACTGTCAGCTGGGAGCTCAGCTGGGGCTATCAACTAGATCATCATCACACGTCCTTGCCAATGTGAATGCTTGGGCTTCCTCACAGCATGGTGGCCAGGTTCTGGGTTCATGGAGGGAAAGCATGTGGAGAGCAAGTGTTCCAAAAGACCAAGGCAGAAACTCTATGGCTTATTCTGACCTAGCCTTGGAAGTCACACGCTGTCACCTACACTGCATTCTTTTGATTACAAGTGAACCACTAAGGTTGGCCCAGATTCAAGGCAGGGGGATTAGACCTTCTGCTGGATAGGAAAATGGCAAAATCCTATCACAGGAGAGCATTCAGTTGTAATCAACTTTGGAAAATACAGTGACTCACAGGCTCCCTCTTTACAAGTTCACAGTCTATGATAAAAAGCAGAAAATATAACAAGCTGCAAAAATCACGTGAATCAGGCAAGGTTTCTGCTGCAGCAACTGCTTCTGGCTGATTTAAGCAGAAAAGGAACAAATTAAAGGATCCTGAGCTGTTCAAAGAGTCTCCAGGATGGCAGGGAACCAGGCTTGGCAGGTGTTGTATGTTGAATTATGTCCCCTCAAAAAGAGATGCTGAGTCCTAACCCCCAGTACTTCAGAATGGGACCTTATTTGGAAATAGCGTCTTTACCAAGGTAGTTAAGTTAAAATGAGGTCACTAGGGTGGGCCCTAATACAATATGACTGGTGTCCCTATCAAATGGGGAAATTTGGAGACAGAATTTTGTATGTGAAATTGCCCCGGGTTGGAACATTACAGCAATATCGCATCTTGTTTGGTCAGTACAGTGCTTTAAGGCATGTTCCAATGAGTTGTGCAAAAGGAGGCTGCAGAGGAGGCTGGAAAATGTCTTTATCTTGGGCAGGCTTCTGCCCAGCCAAAGTTTAGGATTCTTTTCAAGGAACAAGGAGACATGGATAGTGCCTTCATGGTACCAAATGACTCCAGTCTCCATGTTCACAGCTCCTCGAGAGAAAGCAAGGCCAGGCAGTGTCTGCTGATTCACGGAGCCTCCTTGGTTGCTTCCAGAACAAGGGATCTCTTGTTCCATAACTCTGAACCACCGTCCTTCACGTCACTCTGATTGGACCAATCTGAACCAATCCCTAAGGCCAAAGGAATGCGGCACTCTGATTGGTTTAGGTCTGGATGGCTGCCCATCCCTGATCCAATCACGGTGACGAGGGGTGGAACTATACAATGGGAATAGCTAATGAGAAGCCCACCCAGAGCTGGGAGTGGGCTCAATCCCGCCTAAACCCCTGGAGGCCTCCCACTGGCGGAGCAGTGGCCGGCGCTGGGGAGACACCCACATGTCCACTCTACCAACATTAATCAACTAATCACATAATTAAGTTAGTAAGCTATGAAGAAGTGTATCAGGAGTCTCCTTGGCCTGGGGTTGTCAGAGAAGGCTTCCAGAAGGAGCTGGGAACAGAAAAATGAGGCAGAGCAATAGCATGGGGATGAGAGCATGCCAGGCAGGGAGCCGTGGGCGATGAGGCTGGGTGGTTATATGGGGCAGCAGGGGACAGAGCAAGCAGATTCGGGGAGAAGGGGCTCCGGATGTTGCAAGAAGCCTGGGCAATGGGGAAAGGGGGCGGAAAGGGACTGGGAGGCTCCCTGCATCCACAGACACAGCCTCCGCCTTGCCCCTCCTCCTGAGTCACTCACAGAAGCCACTGAATTTCCACTTGCTCCTGTGGGCATTCAATAAAGCAGAAGGTGCAGAAGTTGCTGGCGCAGTGTCTGGAAGAGGGACAGCCTTCTATCCTCTGCCCAGATGCAGCCTCTCTTAGCCTTGCTTTGCACCTCTGCAAAATGGGCCTAATTTAGCCACCTCCCTGGGCTGCGGAGACAGCTATCAAGTATGCCCAAGTATCAGACAGTCTGGATATAGGCTCTCCCCTTCCTCCTAATGACAAGATTAAATTTCAAAATGGGCTTTGGACACTTTGAACAGGAAAACTTTTAGGGAGATGGGTGACATAGGCAAAGGTCGACTTAAAATATTTATTAATGTGATTACACTATTTTATATATATATAGAGAGAGAGAGAGAGAGAGAGGGAGAGAGAGAGAGAGAGACTGTAGTCCATTTAGAAATAACAGTCTTCACTACTCACACAGAGCCTGAAATAGCTCATTCCCACCATTCAAGGGCTCTCAGGACACAGGCACCTCTTTCAAAATCCGCGTGCAGCGGTCATTAGGCTCTCCCCCATGGTGTGACAAGATAGCTCCCAGTGGCTCCAGGCTTATATTCCACAAGCTCAGCCACCCCAGAGGAAAATAGTACCTCGTTCCTGATAGTTCCAACAAAAGCCCCAGGGCTGCCTCTCATTGTCTTAACTTAAATCACGTGTTCTTACATGAACCAATCACCATGGCCAAGTGTCAGAATGCTCTGATGGGCCAAACTTGGGCTATTTGTGTAGCCTTGGAGCCAGAGACAGACCCAGCTCCGCATGATCAAATGGATTGAGAGTGGGGAGGGGTTCCCCAAGGGAAAACCGGACTTAATTGCTAAAGAATGGGAGTGGATGGTGGGCAGGCAAAGGCATCAGATGGTACCTACCTTTGGGGGAGGGGGGTAGGCGGGAAGGAAAGGGGGAGGGGGCCTGTTTCCCCAGGGGACAGTCTATTCATGAAAAATTCCTTCCTCATGAGATCAGTCTCTTCAGGACTTTGTCTCCTGACCTTGATTCTGAGCTGGTTGCAGGTAAGATGTCTAATTTCACTGCCACTCGGTAATCCCCAGAAAATGAAAGCAGCAATCTTGTCTCCTCCCTCAACTCTTCCTTGTGTGTTAGTTTCTTGACCTTCATGATTCTATTTGTCTTTCTCCGAATACATTCTAATTTGGGGGGGGGGGCGGGGGGAGACAGACAGCTTTCACCTCCCAGCCCAATTCCGATCAGTAAATCGACACATATATGTTGAGGGCCCACTATGGGCCAGGCACTGCTCTAGGCACTAGAGAGTTTGGTGGGAGAGGAGGTGGGGGTCACATCTAAGTTCAGTGGGAAAGGATGCTGTGATTGATTAACAATGTCTGCCACAGTCATATCAAAGGTAGTGGAGGCACATAAGCCATCCCTGCTAGACATCTTTCTTAGCTCAGGTGATTCAAAAAGAGGTGATGGACAGAGTTGGCCCACAGGCCACAGTTTGCCATAGTCTCTAGAGCAAACTAAGCCTTAGAGACTGCAAAATGGCATAGAACTGGGCTGTGAATGGCGAAAAGTTCCCACGATAGGAAGCCTACCTGAATATCTTGTAATCTCCAGAACAAAAACTAGACACCACGTATCCTGATCCTCTGACCAGCTTTCTTTCCAATAAAGCCAATGATTCTCTATAAGTCTGAAATATTTCCAAATAAAAAAATTTTTAATTTTGATGTTTTTTTAAAGTTATAATATTTTTAGAGATTTTTTCTTTTTTATTTATTTATTTTTGGCTGTGCTGGGTCTTCATTGCTGCGCACAGGCTTTCTTTAGTTGCGTTGAGTGGGGGCTACTCTTCGTTGCGGTGAGTGGGCTTCTCACTGTGGTGTCTTCTCTTGTTGTGGAGCACGGGCTCTAGGCACGAGGGCTTCAGTAGTTGTAGCATGTGGGCTCAGTAGTTGTGGCTCGCGCAGGCTCTAGAGCACAGGCTCTAGAGCACAGGCTCAGTAGTTGTGGTGCATGGGCTTAGCTGCTCCACAGCATGTGGGATCTTCCTGGACCAGGGCTTGAACCTGTGTCCCCTGCATTGGCAGGTAGGTTCTTAACCACTGCGCCACCAGGGAAGCCCTAAAGATTTTTTTAATTGATGTGGACCATTTTTAAAGTCTTTTATTGAATTTGTTACGATATTGCTTCTGTTTTGTTTTTTGGTCTTTTGGGGCACAAGGCATGTGGGATCTTAGCTCCCCGACCAGGGATCGAACCCTGCATTGGAAGGTGAAGTCTTAACCACTGGATCACCAGGGAAGTCCCTAAAGTTATGATATTTTTAAAGGCTTTGGATCACATGGTGAAAAGAACTCCTTTTTCTACTCTTTTTGCATGATTCTGATAGTGGCAAATGA